CAAGATCAAACTGATAATATCAGTATATAGTACATTTTAAATCCTACAACTTTTGTATCAAACATTTTCTCTAAAATAAGTTTGTTTCGACATATTTTACTGTTCCGGAACTTTTAATACACTTTGTGTGTATATATATAAAATACGACAAGAAATGTATTATCCATTAATCAATTATATAAAGTACAAAATAAATATAACAATATATGAACATTCAATATACAATAATTTGTTAATTTTATATAAATTACATAAGGGTAAAAATAAGAAAAGCGTATTATTTATTATATATAATATATATAGTCTAAAGTATTACATGTATGTCAAATATATTAATTTTTACTGTACTAGTTTTTTTAATTTATCAGACATCTGGTGTATGCCTATTTCATTTTGTACATAAAATTGTAGCCTTATTACGGAATTTCAGTCGAAGAAAAAAACGCGAGCATTGTTTACAAAACATCTGACGCGCAGATGACGTACAAATATGTTTGTAGTGGTGACATTTTTTTTAGAAAAAAAAGAGCCAAAGACAATTTATTCGTGAGCTGACAAATTGTAAAAAATATTGTCAGAGACGATCTATCGTGAGCTGACAATTTTTAATAAATACAGTCAGAGGCGATCTAACGTCAGCTGATAATTTTTAATAAATACAGTCAGAGGCGATCTAACGTCAACTGACAGTTTAGAAAAAACAGAGCCAAAAACGATTTATTCGTGAGCTGGCAAATTGTAAAAAATATTGTCAAAGACAATCTATCGTAAGCTGACAATTTTTAATAAATACAGTCAGAAGCGATCTAACGTCAGCTGACAGTTTAGAAAAAACAGAGCCAAAGACGATTAATTCATGAGCTGGCAAATTGTAAGAAATATTGTCAGAGGCGATCTATCGTGAGCTGACAATTTTTAATAAATACGTATTTCTAAGTTTGTTATTTACTACAAGTGTGGTCTTTTAATGTTTTATCGCATAATTTATAAAGTTATTTCACCTTTTTTTCTCGCAATTGAAATTCTATCGTATGGCTGAATGATGTACATACGAGACAAAATAGACTTATACAAAGTATCTAATAGATATAAATTAGATATGATAAAATATTTTATTTGAAAAATATATATATAATACTATATATCTAATTGGAAAAAAATATTATATGCTTTCTCTATTTTTATTTTTATGTAATTAATACAAAATAAATAAATAAGTTAATTAATTATTCAATACATACATATACATATTAAATATAATTATCTTTATTTTATATTTTATATAATGACCGAATTGATATATACTCTCATTATTTCAGCCATTATCATATAAAATACAAAATAGGGATAACTATTTATTCAATATATGTGTATATGTATATATTAATTAATTGATTAATTAGCTATTTTGTATTTATTACATAAGGATAAAAATAAGAAAAATATATGACATTTTTCTTCAGTGATATATATAGTATTATATGTATTTTATTATTTTGTCATATTTAATTCATATTTATTTGACACCTTGTATACGCCTATGTCTTCTCGGACATTATATTGCAACCTTGCGACGAAATTTCAATCGAGGAAACAAGCGCAAGCATCGTTTGTTTACAAACTATCCGATCACACGTACACAGACCACACGTCAATGTAGTGAGTTACCACTACAAACAAATGCGTACACACGGACCTACGCGGCATAGGTCCGTAGGCTACGCCGATAATGTCATTTCTTTTTTTAGTACCATCGAAATGATGGCGCTTTCGCGTCGGAGTTCGGCTTCCACTCCAGCATCCTCTTAAGTGAATATAATTTATGAAATAAATGTTATAAAATCAATTATGTATGTATAATATTTATGTATATAAAATATTTATTACTTTTAATTGTTACAGGCACTCATCTTTGGAGCAAAGCTGAGACTTTGCTGCTTATAAATATATATAGTGACTACAAAGACGAGTTTTATAGTAGTAAATGTACTGTAAAACAATCTTGGGGAAAAATAGCAAAAATTATGCAAGACAAAGGATATAATGTATCGGGTGTAAAATGCTCGACAAAATTTTAGGCCTTGAAACGTACATATTGTTGCGCCCGCAGAACGGAATATCACACGCGTCAACGAAACTCGCGGAAAATAAGTAAAACAACACAACACTTTAAGAAAGAACACTTTAATTATAAACACTCAACAAATAGTAACCGAGAATACAATTTAAATATCAGAGCTGTCATAAACTTCCGCCCGAGCAGACAGCTACTGAAGATCTGACATATGACAGCTTGTTTACAAACTGTCATAGAGACCCTTTAAACCGTTAATCGATATCGTCTTGACAACAAATATAAGAAAAACTCTTGTTATTTACAAATGCCATATGGCTTTAACTTTATAGTGACCGATCGATATTATCGATCGATCCGTCAGCTGTAACACACAGCATCAACAGCGAAAAGCACAGGCGTAACAATATAAAACAATTTTAGACCATAATAGCAAAAGTGGTAATAACCCTAAGAAATGGGAATACTTTCAGGTATTGCTTATTTTTAAATTTTTATTTTATGTAAAGACATATGCTTGTTCTTATATACATGTCTTATATACTTATATTTATACAGGATGTCTCTATATTCGCGCCCGCGGAGTATAAGACATACTGCACAGAACCTAATACAGAAACAATGTTCTTCTTTAGCAAAATTGCGTCCGAGAACCTATATTAATATATTAACATTACAGAGTATCTTATTATTATTTATCGGACTATTATTATTTATCGTAATTTTGCTAAAGAAAAGTTACTTCTTTTAGCACAAAGTATTACGTCTTGTATTGCACGGGTGCAAATTTAGGGACACTGTATATCTATACTTAACAATTTTATTATACAAATAATATTACTTGTTAGTGAATATTACTTACTAAAATGTAAATTAAATATAATGTACTATTTGTACCTTTTTTCTCTCTTTTTTACTTCAGAATATGCAGGAATTATTTGCGGACAAACCATGGGTGCAACCATTGGCAGTGGCTGGATCTCATGTTACTGAAAGTGAAGAAGAAGAGAATCCACCAGAAAAACGTAAGATTAAATATTTTATATGTATATGTAAATTAAATTCATTAGGTTAGCATTTTTATAATTATAATTTCAGGTATTAAAAAAAAGAAATTAAATACACTTATGGAGCAATACATAGCAGATAATAAGGAAGAACAAAAGAAAAGAAGAGAGAATAAGGAAAAGCATCATAATGAAAAAATGGTTATACTTAAGCGGATTGAGAATATAATAGAAAGACTGTTAGAAAAAAGAAAAGATTAATTGTGATGTTAGAATCAAAAAGAAAAAAACCGACGTTTTTATTTTGTTATAAAGTTACGTTTACAAAATTTAAAAGTTAAAATGTGATACTAATAATTTTATTTTGATTTGTTTAAGAGTTAAAGTAATACTAATTATAATTTTATTTTAATTTGTTTAAGAGTTAAAGTGATACTAATTATAATTTTATTTTAATTTGTTTAAAAGTTAAAGTGATACTAATTATAATTTTATTTTGATTTGTTTAAGAGTTAAAGTGATACTAATTATTTTATTTTGATTTGTTTAATTATTTATCTTTTTATTTTATTGTTTCAATAGTAACATAATACAATTTAATAAAGTTACATATTTTTAAAAGTAGAGTTAAATACATTTAAAAGATTCAGACTTTTCTTTCAATTCATAGCAGTGTATGTATAACTATGATTGATAAAAACAAAACAGTATTTTTTTAGTATTATAATATAATATTGTACTGAATATAGATATATATGTATAACAAAACAGTCAAAATATATAATATATTTATTACAGAAATGTTCAATTATTTATTTATTCTAAATATACAAAACCAAAATATACAAAAACAAATGTAACTTATTTTTAATTTTACATGTTTGGTAGCAAATACATAATGGCGTTTCTTTTTTCAATGCCCTCTCTCTGTTCGCAATTTTCTTCTAATTGTGGTGGCGCGATATTTGACTCATTAACAATAATAGGAATGTTTATCATATCATTTGTAATATGCATATATTATGCAGAATACAACATGCAATAATATATTTCGGGATCAAATCTGTTCTTCGCATTGGAAGTGTATCCAGAATGTTTCTAAAACGACCTTTTAACAAACCTAACGATCGTTCTACAATCATTCTTGCACTAGAAAGTCGTTTGTTAAAATTTATTTGACGTTCAGTTAAGTCAGGCCTCGGAATTATTTCATCTTTTTAGCCGATTCTCGTGGTATACGCCTCCTTTCCTCTCTTCACCGCGCACGCGGCAGCCGCTAGGGCCAGCGCCGCCGAGCGTTAGGAGCGGCGCTATCCGATAAATGTTGGGTTCTTCTCCCTTGATCATTAAAAGTTAAAAAATTTATTAAAAATATTTTTATTTTTAAATTTATTATGTAAAAATATTTCAATAGATTTCCACGTCACCCCATGAG